TTACAGTTGGAATATTCAAGATCCATTGTGAGTGATGTTTAAAGCTTCAACTGTCTTTATGGTTGGTAAAACTTGTCAAGTCTGTCAGTCTGAATGGCATGTGTGAGGCCTTGTGTTTGTTAAAATTTACCCCAATTTCCGTAAGGGCGGATTTACGGGCCGTAACGCGAAATTATTGGTCATAATTTACAAATTCTGTAAGAGCGAAATTCCGTAACCCGGGCTTCCGTAACGCGGGGGATGCCTGTACTGTGTTGGGTACTGTCATGTCAACAATGAGTGTGGGATCAACTATTCAATTAAGCAAAGTAATGCTATAATAACTAAACCTACAGTAAAAACTAACTAGAAAAGTTCACAATACAAATAGATTGTCATTTATGTAATTGGGCATGAGTTTTACAAGGTATTATAACTAAATAATTTCAACCAAAAAGCCCCTAGACACACGCAGGGATAGAAATTATTTAAATTTTGAGATTAAAATAAAAGTACCGTAAAAGTTAAAGTAAAGTAACTTAGTAACTTAAGACATTTCCCTTCTTGATTGCTCAGTTTCCATAACAACACACACACACACACACACACACACACACAACACCATCTGAGGGAACTACTACACCACGTGAGTTCCTCCTAACACCATCTGGGAGGGAGTTATTACACTACGAGTTTGCTGTTCAACACCTACATTAATCTGTATGTTCACTGTATGTTCCTTTACCTTTCTCTAATGAATGCTTTTGTTAAACCACCAATGTATGTAATAAGTCATTTATGTCCAATGTATATTTTCAGCCTTCAGGCTGCAGAATTTTTTTCAAAAACCGTTAATTATTATTATTATTATTATTATTATTATTATTACACACACACACACATGGGGCAAACCTTCTACCAGCCTACCATACATTAGGGCAATGGCATCTGTGAATTCTTGTTTATTAAGGATGAAGCCTTTTGCCCTTATTGATAACGTTGTTGCCAGTTCAAGGCGTCCATCTTTTGCACTATAGCTACTTTTTTTCAAGTTTTCTGGCAAATGCTGCAACAGTTGTTACAGTTTATCACTTTGGGTGTTCTGCCATAATTTACCGTCGAATCTTGTTTAATTCATTGGTATCCACCTGACTTGCTGCATTCTGAGCTGTTATGTGCTCAGTGAGGTCTGCTGTGAGATTGACGGATTTTTTATGTTCTGTGGCGGCAAATTCCACTGGATTAGTCAATCCCATTCTTCCCAGTCTCGGTGGTAGTGCAAGGAGTGACCTTCTGCTGGGGTTAAGTAAGGGTTTTTCACTAATGTTGGGATGAAAGCAACCTTGATGGCTTCTTTCAGAGGGTGGAGGAGGGGTCCGATATCAGGGATAGTGCGCATCAGGTAATTCCAGCGATGCTCGACTCCATGGGTGAATGCCGCAAAAGTCGCGTGTGGTTCTGTTTTAGCAATATCAGACAGCTTGGATTTCTTTCACCCACTCATTTACCTTTCCCATTACGTACTCAGTCTTGAAGTCCTTTGTGCCAATTACCGCACATACTGTTGATGTCTTTGGCCGTCCTTTGTTATTTTTACCTCACTTCCGCCAAACACCTCCATTGCCCGTTGATAGTGTTCTGTCTTCACAATGAGGAAGGACTTAATGGCATTTGGATGGTACCCTATTTGTGGACCACGTGATGTTACCAGGTCCCACCACTTTTTGATGGCCTTCACTTTTCCTGCTCATGTTAGGTCATAAGCGTAAGCCACTTGCTTGACCTCGGTTGTTTCATATTTTATTGTATGTTGGAGCATGGATAGGCCTAGTGTGTACATTGCCATGGTGACTGGGTCCCCCTGCATTGTTCCCTCAGTTGACTGTATGGTGGTATCACCTCTTAGGGCCTTGAAGCTTGTTATATAGAGGTCTGATGGGTTCCTGTAGTTGTTTTCAACATACATTGCAAAGCTTGGACACTTGCTCTTGATGTTGTGCAGTGTAGCCTTGCGATTGATTATGTTGAATGCGTTGGAAGTGTTAACCAGGAGTACTGCCTCACAATCACTCTGCTCAAATATCTTTCTCATGGTGTGAGTGCCAGCTTCCCCTCCATCCTGGTGGCCAGCACATAGTGGCAGGTTCCTGCAGCTGTCCTGACATCATCATTTACCACCTCCATTATGCATTTTCCAATGATCCGTCTCAGTACTTCCCCCACACCTATAGGCTTACATCCTTGATTTTTATCCAGGAGAATGAGGCGGCATACCATCAGAGCATGGAGGTGGAGGCAGCACGAGGTTGCTAGCTTTCTTGCAAGGGCGGCAGTGACATTGGAGTGATCATTTGCTGTGGCACCAAACTTGTTAGTGCTGAGGATGACTCTCCATCCGTCTGCATCCAGGCCTGAAGGGCCTGTCCCTCCCTTTGTTTTCAGTGCCTTTTTCCACACCATCCCACCTGTTATTTTCTTGAATATGACAGCGTTTGGAGGGATATAGGCACCGTGGAACCTGATGCCTTCCTCTTCACTTGCAAGGGGATGTTTTTCCTTCAGTTGTTGTAATATCTCTCTGTTTATTGGCAGAACACCGCCAGAAGATTCCTATGTGAGAGATCTTACCGCCGAGGACACTTTTCCCACGCATCTTGTTTCCAAACTTTCTGGCAACATCCTCAGTGTTTTGCTTTCCATCTCCTCTGAATTTTAGTCTCTCCTGCAGTGTTCTTGCTTCATACAGGAGATCATCAAGGGCCCCTTTCTGCCACATTGTCAGTCTTCTATTCATTGCTACCACATTTTCTTTGCACTTACTGTAGGCCTTGCGTGTGTCCTCAGACAGAATAGATTGGGTATTATGGCCAGCATTTGAAAAGCTAATGGGACCAGTGGGGTGTCGTGAGTGTAATTGATTATGAAGCAAGTCATCTCCCAGATCATTTCTTTGGTGGCTGCGCACTTGGGTGGTTCAAAGAGGTTAGCTGGCAGCCACCTGACCACTTCTGAGTAGGCTTCTTTGACCCACTTCTCCGCATCGTCCCCCGACAAGCTTTTCCAATTTGTTGACTGTATGTCATTCACCTCATGAACAGTATTTTCCGACCCAGTGGGTTCACTCCTATTGTCTGACATGTCGTCATCAGGTGATGGATGTCTGCTGTCGGGATTTTGACAGCTGGTCCTTTTCCCACTACTTCTCACACAAATACAGGTTGTGCATTTCTGATTCCATCCTGAGCACTGATAAACACATTTCCCAGCCATGATGTCGACCTGTTGGGGAGGGGAGGGGGCAGTGGGAGAGGTAGATGGTTGTGGCTTGGGGAGGGGGGAGGGTAAGGCTAGGAACCCATGTGTATGTATATGCGTGGAGTGTGGTGCTTATTCACTGCTCCCATATGTCCATCAAATGTGATGCGTGGTGCGTGAAAGTTCTTTTCACGGCAAAGATTCATCTGGTGTGGAACTCTGTGTGCAGTAGGTTAGTACATACAATTCAGGGGGAACCACTTAACTAAGTGTTTGGGAACATGAAACTGTGTTCTTTATGAAAGGGATTTATTTTAAGAGCTCTTTATAGAGAGATTCCAATGTACAGTATTTTGTTTTGTGTTTACTAATTATGCTATATGCACAAAACAGTTATTATTAATCCAATCAACTCTGTACTCCCAGTAAATTAGCAACATCTAATGTTGCAGCCATACTGTTCAAATATTGGTAAGCAGACTCGCATCCTTGTGATCTCTTCTACTTGCATCATATATTGCTGGATGCTCTCTAACCAGTTCAGTTAGTTTCTCCAGAATTTCATCTGATATGACATTATGTGGCATAATGATGACGAGTACAATTTGGCATAGAAACACACTCAAATACAAAAACAGACGCTATGAAAGCACGTGGATGCAACAGGAAAACCCCTCGACAACCCTGGCGTGGTACTTGCGTGATGCGTGTTCACCGCCCTTGGAAGCGGTGAATACGCAATGCACAAGACACTATGCATCATGCAATACGTATACATGGAATCAATCCAACTTGTTTTTAATTATTTTGATTTATATGTATCGCACAATGCGCACTACATACACATGGGTTCCTAACTTAAGTTGTGGTGTATTGGCCGGGCGGGGCGGCACTGGGCGAGCGGGACCGTTACCACCCTTGAACTGCTCAGGTTACAAGCCATGGCCTACGTGACACATACAAACACCAGCGCCACCTGCTATACAGTCTCCTACTCTCCAATAACTATCACCAATATCCACTCAGGAGGCCTACAGGTGGATGACACTGATCACGCACTACACATTCACAAGTAATAATTCTGCTAGTTCTGGGTTGCCCCCGTTAAGGCCCGGCTTTTTATGAAAAACCCTGGGCTATCACGACCCCCATCCTCACTCCATCACAACACAACTGCCATCTATTCCTAATACCAGTTTTACAAATTACCCTTAATATTATTACACCAACTACACTTTTGCTTATGGTAGCCCATAATCCTGTCGATGAACTTTTACACATAACTTCACTCTCAGTTATGGTTCTTATTTTGAGCTTCACTAAGAACATTCCTATTAGAACCATGCACAATCCCCCCTTCATGGAGGGAGAGGAGAGACACTTAGCAAAACCTGCTGCAGGAGGTGGTACATGACAAAGCAGGTCATTCTGTATCATCGTACTGTATTACCATTTGGCCTGCCCGTATCACAAGCTCAAGACGACAGCATCTGCTGGTGAGCACAGTATGTATTTACAGTACTGCACAGTTTATTTATAATATATTGTACGTGTACAGTGGAGTTTGCACGAATAAATACAGCTCTGTGTCTTTCCGTATGAGATGCATAGTTTAGTCACAATAATTTTTCCCTATTACCTGGAAAAACTCTGGAGATGAAAATACTTGTCTCCATACCTGGAAATCTCTCCAACCTGGAACCGCTCTGCACCAATAACTCAGGTTAACGTGAAGAATTATACTAAAGGTAAAAATTAAAGCAAGGTAAAATTATTTTTTTATGTATTGAGTTTACAAAATATGTAAATCAAGTAAAGTATTACAATATAATATTAATTCCTATGGTTTATACAGCTGAAGGAACAGTGGTTTTTAAATCAGAGGAGACAAGTTACTGTTGCTTTTATATTAGATGTTATTATCTTTTGGAACACTTATCTTATTAAAGTTTCTTTTATGTGGAAAGCAATGAAAATGTTTAAATTATGAAAAACTTGGTTCTGTAATCTATTGTATGAGGTGCTGGCCTTATTATACCACATATTGCATGGATGGAGGATTCAATCAGCCTAAAGTGAGCCATTTTAGTTCAGAAAAACAAAAATGTATCTTTCTGAATTTGCATGTGTACTGTGTACTGAAGTGTTTAATTGAATTAGAATCTGTACTTCATTGTTATGAAATCAGTGGTAGTGCTGAGGTGTGGTAGTTAATGTATGTTGCAGGGGGGTGGCCCCCTGCAACATACATTTTGAATACCCTACTGTGCTGCAACATACATTTTGAATACCCTACTGTGCTGTACTTCAAGGCTGGCTCTGTATCTGTGATAGGCTACCTGATGAGAATCAGATATTTTGGCTCTTGAGGTAGTCTGCTACTCTCTCTACCTCTTTGGCACACTGTCCAGCTTGTATTGGATCTTCGTAGTAGGCGATGATGACACCTGTTTTTGTCTTGCAGGCAATAATGCCGTTGGTGCCTTTCTTTGCTCTCAGCACCTCATCTGTTCCACTCAGAAAGAAGTATTTGGTACCACCAACAATCATACCTGTAATGTTCAATAAAATTTTAGACAAATTGGCGAATGAACACAGCAAGTTGTTGATTTTCATTAGGGATGTGTTCTTTTAAAATGCAATGTAAATAAGACACATTTTTCCCATAGACTTAGTGTTGGAACTGGGGAATGTATTACTGGGCCAAATTTGGGGACACATAAACCTATCTGAAAATTAAACAAATCGATATAGAACACAAATGAAGTGCATAAGTAGACAAGTAAATGTACACAGATTCATTGGTACTTGCCAAAATCAAATCAAGATTGCTTACAACCTTAGCAGGAGTACTTACAGGACGTTTTCCACTCTTTTGAAGGATTTAATACAAAGTTAATTACAATACAAGGAGTATTATTCAATATCTCTCTGGCTGAGGCAGATTCATCAGCTGTTGGCAGTGGTGCCACATTATGTTTTTGGTATGCATTTTTCATTTTTTAGTGCTTGTCACAGCAAAATCATTATTACATTGGATATGCATGACTTTTAGTACAGTCAACAGTGGAAGTTCACCCCAAATCATAATATGAGACAGGTGGTCTAGTAACACTGTATGGGAAAGAGTTGATAGATATATGCTCTAAATCAGTGGTTCTTAAACTTTTTTGCCTTGTGCCCCCTTCTGCATAAGTCCTAGATCCCCACCCCCCTGATGCAACCCTTGGTTATTATAGAGTGGGAGGGATGAGCAATCATGTACAAGACGCGTTCAGTTCCTGACCAGACTTTTCTCTCTGACCACTCCCCCCCCCCCAGTTTAAGAATCACTGCTCTAAATGGTTAGTTATTTAAGATTTATGATCATAGATTGCCTTAGAACACATTTCTTGTACAGTACCCTATAGTATAGATATATTAAAATCTCTTTCAGTATTCCTTTCCTCTAAAGACAGATTTTATTATCATAAGAGATGTCAGGGTAGGCAATTAAAACAATTCCATTTTCAATCATATGTTGCAATAAAATTATCCTGTGCTTATAAATAACCCAGTTTTACTCAATAAATCCCTAAATTCAATACAGTACTACTGTAGAAAGAAAACTTATTGAATTAACATTAATTTAAAGGACCCCTAACTTTAAAATCTTTGAAGCATAAAGGTCATATTTGCCAATTTATGGATAATCCTAATCCTGTACCCCAGGTGACTAGGACAGGTCACTTCTAACCTCAATGCACTCCACCTAGAGTTCAGGTAGTGTTGGACAAGGTATTGTAGGTATATTTTCCTTTTGGACCTCATTTATATAGTTTGTAGCAGGTCCTGTGTTGAGAAGTGTTAGTGATTCACCGAAACATGTACGCAGAATAAACATGGTTCCAAGAAGTATAGTTTTGTCAATACATTACGGTATATATTTATCATGTGAGTGTGATTTAATATACTGTATACAGTATACAGTACGGTAGAAAACCAGTTCTCCTGGTATCCGGGCAACTGGTAAATTCAGCTAAACGGCACCAAAATGAAGTAATAATGACAAAAAAAATTCCTCCAAAATGAGCTGCCATATCTATTGCCATGATAAACAATAAAATCACTACATAGCATATCATAAAATACAATAGTACATAATTATTTATGTACTGTACAAAAAATTACTCCTTCCACACTCAAACCTTCCTCTGGGTGATGCAGCACAATTCAGGCAGTCAACCAGCTAACTCACAGATGTATGGCTGCCTTGCTGGATGTGTGCATACTGTGATGTCACATCCGGAGGGAGCTCAACCATGCAGTTATAGCCCAGAAAACAATCGTCTCAACACACATTCACTTCCCACATATACACACTGATGCTCTTCATTTTTCTTATTTTATGGTTTTATATTATATTTTCTTTATTTCTAAGCTACATTAAAGTCTTGTACAAGTAATGATTTTTTCACAAATTATATAGTTTCATTACAAGTAACAATATATGAGGAGGCTGGAGGATCCCAGGAATGAGTTTCAACTAACCGGAAAAACACCTAATCTGGCACCTCTCAATCTCCATAGGTACTGGATAACTGGAATACTACAGGTGTGTGTGTGCGTGCGTGCGTCACAGGTATCACTCACTATGTGAATGTTCACTTTATGAATATTCTATTCTTACACTTCTTTATCACTTTGTGAATGAAAGCTACTCTCTCTTATATGAATATAGTCCCTTAAAGTGATGTATCAAATTTATATTTATGAATTACAGTAGTTAGGTACTAAATTCTAATACAATAGTTGCAGACTAAATTACAGTACAATTCACAGTTACTTACTAATTTACAGGAGTTACGGGTAGGTTTTTTTGTTGTTTGTGAGCTTTGAATTTTTTAAAGTGCTGTATTATACAGCCATCTCATGATTTATATACTGTAGTAGTTACATTCATAAAAATAGCCATGTAAATAAAAAACGTGTTAATCAAACTTAATTATCCCATAAGAAATAAAGGAAATGGCAGGGGTTAGGGGAAATGCTCCCTGAATACTGTAGTTTGTTTATCTATTTCCTTCAGTATGTTTTATTTATAATATAATAATAATAATACCTGTAATACAACATTAATAATAATAATAATAATACTGTACAGTATAATAATAGAAGCAAACCTAATAATACAGTACTGTAGTAAGAAAATAGATTTAAATGAAAATTTGTGCTAACACTTATGATGAATGATGGGTGGGATGGCGTGTGGGAACTAATGGTGCTGGAGGAAAGGTGAGGGGTAACTGGGGGAGGGAGTCATCTGAATCAGATGGCAGAGCAGGTGATTTAGGAGGAGAAGTGGGAGCTTTCGAGATGATAGATGTTAATGGCTGAGGTTCAGGTGATGTTACTTTTTCCTTTTTCGTAAAGTAGGAAAGCAATGAGGTACTGAACTATGTTGCCTGGGATAGTGGTGCTCTTTTCAAAACTACGCTATTTAAAAGATCTTTGTGTTATTTTAAAAATGGGGATTAATTTATTACTAGTATTATTTAAAAAAGTGTAAATTAAATCCATTTAAATTGAGAGGTGACTGTATTGGGGATTTTCTTGTCACTGGGGAACCAAACCATATTTTTCTCATGGGTTATGTTATTTGATAATCAAATATCCACTTTACAAATGGTTTTCAAGGAACCTAATTCATTTGTTGAGTGAGGGATACCTGTGTATATGTGTGTGTGTATGTATGTATGTGTACACTTACTTTACATACACAGTTTTGGACTAATGGTGAGGAAGAGGGAATGGAGGGCCAAAAATATCAACATTTCAAAAGTAGAAGCCCTCCATGACGACTTAATCACAACTACTGATCTCATGCTTGCCTCATGATATAATTACTTAACCATTGTCCTGGTGTCTAAAGTATATAAATGTAATGATATATACAGTAGTAGTACTAGTAGGTAGAAGGCAGCTATCAAACAGGGAGGTACTACTGCCTGGGAAGATACTGGAAGCATAATGGTTGACCATGCTACCATGTGGCATCACAAATATTGTGACCAAGTCCCAGGTTGTTGAACTGACTTTCAGCCTCATTTACACACAATTGCAGGGTTTTAATGGTTTCTCTTACTATTGACAACACAACATACAGGGTACATACTGTATATCATTTCTCACTCTTCATTTTTTTTTTTAGTTAGTATTTTATTTTATTTTTTTTTAATTATTATTATTATTATTATTATTATTATTATTATTATTATTATTATTATTATTATTATTATTATTATTATTATTATATCCCCCACCCCAGCCATGATGTGGGTCAGTGACCCATGTGCGTAAAAAAAAAATATCAAGGGGAAATTAAAATCCACTACTCGACCATTTTGTTGGCGTAAGTGCTTGGCCAAGCATCAAGCAGCACTTAAAAAATTCAACATCATACACAGGAACACCATTTACCATCTACTGGTATTCCTACTTCCAGTTTTACAATTTATCCTTAATATTATCACCAAATGCTTTTGCTTACTCATACCGGGTAATCCTTTTGATGACCTCTCAGTTATGGCTATTATTTTGAGCTTCTCTAAGGTAATTCCTATTAGAATTGTGCACAGACCCCACCACTGGAAGTCATTGCTAAGAATGTGTAAAGAATGGCAGTGAACTACAAAAAAAGAGTGAATACAGTACAGTATTACTGAATGTGGCAGAGCAGAGATGGTGCAAGGAAAAATGACGATGTGGAATAAGCTTACATGAAAAGTTATTTAGTGGACTATCATAATTTCATGCCATATGTTCAAGCTTTCAGACTTTTTTCCAAAATTTGAACAACATACACTGTATATCTGATTGCTACATGGGTGATATGATTAGTGCTGGAGGTGGTGCAAAGCCACCTTTGTTACAAGAGCTTGAAGTACCTTCTCTTTGTTTGGAAGGAAAGATGTATGTAGCCAGCATGAGAAGTGTGTAGGTGTATGGCAATGAAACATGGATAATTAAAAAGGATGATAAATGTAGGTCTTAGCAAGTTGAATTGGCAGTGGTAGGGGATAAATGTGTAATGTAACACCGAAAGATTAAAACCCTGTTCAAAGCTAAGAGAGCAGATGCATATTGATGGTATTGGTGAGGTTTTGCACATTGCTAAACTGAGAGGGTTTGGGTATGTGGAGATAATGTAGGAGACTAATTCGGTCAAGAGATGCATGAGCTTTAATATGGAGGTGAAGAAAGCTAAGGGTAGGTCAAGCACAACATAGGGAGTGGTTATGAGAAATGGCCTTAAGAGATAATAACCTGTTGAAAGAGGTTGCAAGAGACTGCTTGGAAATCTGCCATCAGGTAATCACAATTATTAACCGATGCAAGCATGGAAGATAGCCATAAGATGGTGGTGATGATAATTATGGTACTGTACCTATTCTTTCAACCCTGTGAGATCATTTTAGGTGTTATTTATGAACAATTTTTTTTTGCTTGATTAGAGTTATTAGTTAATGACTTTAATCCTACGGCATCAAAATTTGAAGATTCACTCAAGCTC